TATCAGTAACAAATGTTAATGTAATAATAATATAGTCATAATAATATTATTAATTTATATCATAACTTATTAATAAACTTTAATATATTAAAAACTATAATATGTAACATAATATTAAATTATTAATAATATATTTATTTATTAATATACTAGTAATAATTTAATATAATATAACTAATATATGTAATATACTTTTTTTTAGAGAAAAACAAGGGATAATCCCGTTCATTAAAAACCAAAAGAGTACGAAGTATCATGTAATTACAAAATCATGGATATGAATTGTATCCAAATATTAGAAAATAGAAAATAAAGTTTCTTTGAACTAGGGATGCATAATTTTCTTCTTCCAGAGATCCATGAAGATGATAGGAATGCATAATTTTCTTCTTCCAGAGATCCATGAAGATGAAGAGTGGGCCTTGTCATCATTCACCGTAAGCATAGATATAAGGATAAATGTAATATACTAGTAATAATATTATATTATATAATTAATAACGATATTAATATTAACATTAACATTAGTATATATTGTATTAATAATAAAATAATACTATTTTATATTTGTATTATATTTAATATAATAATATAATAAATATTATAATATTTTAATCATAATATATTCTATTATAAATAATATTTAATATATTTATAATATATTTAATGCTAATGTTATAAATGTTCAAACTAGTGTTGACCAAAAACACTAACTGTAGTGTTTTGAAACAATATGAGTTTTTATTTATAAAATATAATATGAAAAACACCACAAAAATGTAATATGAAAAACATTGTGGTATCCAAACAAAACTTAGTTATTCGAATTCGATTAGGCATCAACGTGAGTATTCATACTCCGTAACTAATGTAGAGCTCTTGTGCTGCCATTTTCTACATGCTAAAGAAAAAGCCAAACTGTTCTGTTGGGTAAACTTGACTCATTATGATTTTTTAGACCCTATGGTACAAATCAAACTGAGCCATATTTAACTCAAATCTATATTTTACTGTTGTCAACCCAGCCAGCACACACGCGTGTGCACAAGGGTCTAGAAACCAACCACTTTCTCTCCCACGTGTGAATAAGGACGTGTGTGCGTGTTCGTGGGTAGTTCCAACTACCCTCACCTGCTCATTAATCCTTATA